AAGGTGCTGTGGATGGGCCGGCCCCGGGGTGGAACCGGGGGAAGGCTTCTGTCTAAGGCACAGGAGAGAAACGCGGGACAAGCCCGGGGCTTGTGAGAAGCAGCGAAGGAACCGACCCTTATTCTGAACGGGCTTTCTCCTCCCTAGATTCTCCAGGGCAGCTCTGTGGATTGGGACCACTTCCTTCAAGAGAAACGCGGGACAAGCCCGGGGCTTGTGAGAAGCAGCGAAGGAACCGACCCTTATTCTGAACGGGCTTTCTCCTCCCTAGATTCTCCAGGGCAGCTCTGTGGATTGGGACCACTTCCTTCATGATTCTGGTTCTTCCTGTCGTCTTTGAAACTGAAAAACTGCAGATGGAGCAACAGCAGCAGCTGCAGCAGCGACAGGTGAGGCGGGAACACCCCGGCCCTCTCGGCTGGCCCGTGGAGTCGGTGCGGGCTGCCCGCGCCTCCTTCTGGTTGCCAGCTGTTGAAGGAGCTTAGGGAACTGTTATGACAGCATGTTGTAAATTGCGGCCTTGCTCATCCCAGTGGATGCACGTTCCAATGGGATGATCTTGCCGATTCCCGGTAACAGGCCAGCGGCAAACTCCAGCAAACGTAGCCTGGCTTTCGCTGGGCCGAAACAGGCAGCAAGGGCTGCGCGCCCGCTAAGGCAGCAACGTTCCAACCCACCCCATTTGCACTTGGTGGGGTCGAGCATTGAACTTGGTTGTCGTAGCAGGGGAGGAACCAATATGGCAGGATGCTGAGGGGGCAGAGGGGAAGGCATGGTGGCCGCCACCCTGCATCCTTGCAGCCCCCCAACTGACCATTTTCCTTCCAGATCCTCCTCGGACCCAACACAGGGCTCTCAGGGGGAATGCCAGGGGCCCTGCCTCCGCTCTCTGGAAAAATCTAATTTGCGGGAGCTGCGTTGGATCGTATCATGTGGGAAGACCTTGAAATTATCAGATATTGAACTGTTGATTTGTTGGGTCAGGGCATTTTTTTTTTTTCATTTGTTTTTATTTTTGGTTCTCCTTTGGGACATTGACCTGTTCATAACGAGGAGGGGGAAGCCCCTTCTCTGGACCTGATGACGGTTCCCCTCTGCATCCTCCCCGCCCACGGGAGTCGCGAGTCTTTCCCTTTACTCAATCAGTACGCCATAACCGGTTACAGAGACTCGAACCCGGGGAGTTCCTCTTCCACCCTCCTTGCGCCCCAGCCCCCCCAAACCACCCCGGGGCACAGGTCTGGCTTCTGAAGGCAGCAGCCAAACATGACACATCCTTGCCTGGCCGACTGGGAGCCGAAGGACACCGTTGACAGGAGCAGGAGTGGTTTTCCCAGCAGGCAAAGCTGGAAGGAGGGGTGTGGGTAGCCATACCCTGTGGAAAACGCTCTCCGGGAAGATGCGTGTGCAAAAACACTTTCACGGCGACTTCGCGTGTGTGCAAGTAGCGAGGGAGCAGCAGGCCAGGTTCACGACGATCACATCCGCGCTGATCCTCTGCCTCATAAAGTAGAACTTCAGATATCAGCTGCGTATTTTTTTGTATCAAATATTAAATAAATCCAACCTGAGCAGTGTGGTTTTAATAGATGTCCCTTAGGGAGGCTCCATTCTTCCAGAGCAATCAGTGGCTTTGTGGGGAGAGACACCACCACCACCACCCCCCACACCGTTCCACAGCCACGGGGGAAGGGACAGACATGGCTCTGTCACCTGCAGGTGGCTGAGAACACTTTGGGCAGCTGAAGGGAGTTCTTGGTAGAGGTGATTCTACCTCCGCACCGGCAACCGACTCATAACACTCACAATGGTTGCAGTTTTATAACCAAAGAAAAAAAATTTTATTTTTCCTTTACATACTTTGTTACAGAACAATTCCGCTGAACACACAGAAGTGGTAGGACATTTATATGGAAATGTGTTTGGTTTTTTTTTTTTCCATTTTTAATATTTGGTTAAACAAAATACATCTCTGTAAACAAACCCAAGACAAGACTCCAACAAAACCAAACGAGCAAGAAAACAAACGGGGGCTTCCCTGCTCCCGAAGCAGTGGGACTGGAGCGGCTCGCCCACCCTCTTGGGCGCAGCAGTCTCGCCTCCCGCAGGGGTGCAATCGCGCGCCTTCCCTTTACCTGAGCAGCTGGATCACGCTGTTCCCCCCCAACCACGGGAAAGGCGCTGACGTACAAGGAAAGTAGCCCCAAAATATTTTAAAACATCTTTCCTTGCATATTGTGCACTGATCTGTTGGCTTGCCGTTTCCATGCAAATGGGGCTCCTCCAAAGTGCGGCTTTAAGCAGCATAGAAAATGTTGCTGCTGAGATTTGATTTTTTTTTTCTCCCTCTTGAAGAAATGGCTTCAAGTCGCAAGCAGAACGCCCTGCAGGCTGTGCACCCTGCCTGTAAAGTGTTTAAAAACGCTGCCAGCTGGTATTGGTCGGTGGAATGTGTTACGAAATAGGACTTCTTATAGAAACGTCGGGTCTTAAAAACCCAAGAGCTGTTTGCCCTTGACTGTGGGAGGCCGTGCTCAGAAGACAGCAAAAAAATGGTGCTTGCCAGGTGTCTGGGGGTCAGTGAACATCATCGCCCCATCGTCAGGCGGCCTCTTGTTCTTCGTTTGGAAGGCGTGAGTACGGCAGTCTCTCGGCTTCAAACACCCGCTCGCGCTCTGCGGAGCTCTCGAGAAAAATAGCTGAGAAAAGGTAGCAACAACCCCTCCTTTCGCAAGCTCAAACACCAGTAACGAGACTTCCCTGCACAATGGAGCGGGATCCTTCAAGCTCGGTCACATCCCAGAGACTGCTGTTTAACTGAGACATCCCATGCACAAAGGAGGGAAGCAAATGGCGGCTCGGCCAGGAAGAGCTAAACACAATGAAGTCTTCCAAATTCAGCGCTTCCTCCTCTTGCTGTGGAAGGTGCGACTGAGCTACAGCTCACCCGACCAACTGGGAAACAGCCGGTGGAGATTCCCTGTAGCGTCTCCATGTCTAGTTGCTCTTCCCCGCGGAAGGGAAGGGAGGAAAAAGCGATTCGTCCATTAACGGAATGTTTGTCAGCCAACACTAAAAGAGAGGTTGGTTCAACTACCAGGCCAGGCTCTCTACCCCGAAGGCTCTGGTGGGCCCTGTGCATCTCCCATGCTATCATCTAGTAGCTATAAAAAGGGCAAAACCTGACTATTTATAATTTTTGCTTTGTAACTTTACTTCTTTCTGGGACGTTTCGCATGACATTTGCGACTGTGGGCTAGGCTTCTGGAAAGAGGAAAATAAAAGGGAATGAATTCCTCTCAAAACCCCCTTCAGTTTTACTCCTCTCTCCAAGCAGCCCCATAACTACTGCGTGACCATGCAGAAAACCAAAATAGGTATATAAAAAAAAAAAGAAGAAAAAACCAATGTAGCACAAAGAAACCCAAGCAGCCTACGGCCTCTCTCCAGCCCAGAAACTCGATACTCCTCAATTAGCCTGCGCTTGCTGTTTCCACATCACCTTAGCCAGCCACATGCTGCCGAACAACCGCTCACCACACGCAGAAATCCCTGGAGACACTGGGGAAGAATCCTCCAGCTACCCAAAGAATTTCTTGAAAGATGACACTGGGTTTATTGTTTTCTCATTCCTGGCACAAACCATCCCGAAGAAGCAGAAGGTTGTGCTGAGCACTGTACCATTACTAGTGTTTGAGAGTGTCCTGAGAGACCCTTCAAAACTGCACACGTCTTCACGATGTCTTGTTTTGGAGGGAGAGACTTGCAAAGAGGCGGCAGCGTGCTCAGCCCCTGCTCCTCCCTGGAAAGCCCTGGAGGGAGCAGCGTCCCACCACAGGCAGCCCTGACCAACTTGGGAAAAGGGAGGCCAGAGGCTTCCAGACGCCCTAGCCCCAAAGCCCAGTTTTAAAGAGCACAACACCTTCTAGCTAGCTGAAGGGCACGCAGCTCACCCGCCTGTGCAATTCAAGTGATTGGCTTCCAGTTTCCTCCACTCTGCCCTCAGTTCTTCCCCCCCCACCCCCCTCCCCGAAATGTCCTACACCGTTGCCCTATTGCACCAAGGAAGGAAGAAAAGAGCCTAACAAAGGGAAGTTCCAGACAAGAAGAGTCGGGGCACCCGTCATCCAGGTTTCAGGACGTTGGGAGTTCAGTCAAGGGGAAGAGCTGTAGTGGGAGGACAGAGTCAGTCCAGGTCACACATCAGCTCTCCAGCTCTGATGTGCTTCCACCTCCTCTGGAACCACCAGCAGGAGTTCACAGTTCTTTCCTCTCAGCTGGTGTTTCAAAAATTTCCTATCATAAAGAGAAACAGAAATAAGCACTAATGAATGTAGAACTTCGTCATCTTCTACAAGAACTACATACAACTAACTCTGCAAACATGACAAGAAACGGCTGGGAAATCCACACACACTGTCTTTAGTTATTTTCTAACCCAAAAAACCCTCAAAGCCCAAATATTAAACTGGCTCTACAAGATTCAACACACCTCTAACCCAGCAAGTTATCACAGAATCACACACAGATTAGCAAGGGTTGGAAGGGACCTTGGGAGATCATCTAGTCCAACCCCGCTGCTAAAGCAGGCTCACCTAGAGCATGTTACGCAGGACTTCATCCAGGCGGGCTTTGAATATCTCCAGAGAAGAAGACTCCACAACCCCCCTGGGCAGCCTGTGCCAGTGCCCTGTCACCCTCAAAGTGAGGAAGTTCTTCCTCATATTCAACTGAAACCTCTTATGCTTCAGTTTGTACCCACTGCCCCTTGTCCTGTCGCTGGGCACCACCGAGAAGAGTCTGGCTCCATCCTCGTGACATCCACCCTTAAGATATTTGTACACGTTGATTAGATCCCCTCTCAGTCTTCTATTCTTCTGGCTACACAAGCCCAAATCTCTCAGCCTTTCCTCATAGGGGAGATGCTCCAGTCCCCTAAGTTATTGCGGAATCAGATAAGCATGATTCTTAACCTCAGCAGAGAGGTCTATAAAAGCATCACTTTCCAATTTGCCAAGGTGGCAAAAATAGAATTAAACCCAAGTTCTGTTTCTTCAGATCCCCGAGATCAAGAATCCCACTGTATTTTAAAATAATTCCAACACATCTGGAATACTTGTGAAAAAAACCCCCATTGTTTAGATGTCCTTATCGCAGGCTAGGAGCAGCATACTGCCTGGTCACTGGACGTGGTTCTGTAGCCCCTTTCTGCCCTTAAGCTTTTTCTAACACCAAATTTGGATTATCTCCAATAACTATGAAAGTCAAATCAATGTTTTCTCCAGTATCTTTCAGCCCAGATTTCCAAAATTCCCTAGACAAGAAACCATTATTTGTTGCTGAAGAACAACACACCTGGGATAAAATCCATCAGAAGCCCAGCACAAAAGGCTGACATTCACTTTACCAAGACTTTTAACAGCATGGTGTGCTCTGCAAATGCTGCTCACCTGTAATCCCTGCATCAGAACAAGCCTAGCTGAGGCAGCAACCCTGCTCCTAGGCTTTGGAACAGGATGGAATGGAAGCTGAACAGCAACTGAGAGCACCGGCAACTTTACAGTCAAAGTAATTCCACAACCACCTTAAGATTGCAGAGGGGAGTCGAGCCAGAAGCACAAGCGTACGCTTACATGGGCAGGTGACTCCTAGCTAGCAACTTTCACTGCTGTCAGGAATAAGGCTGCACTTCTAATCTGGAAAGCCTTTTGTTGGGAACATGCCCACAGATTGCTACTGAAGAGGCAAAGGAATGCAGACACTCTCACATCTGAGGAGAGGGTGAGGCATGGCACATCTTGTTGCAGGTGTCACCCACTAATACCAGACTTGGCCTCTACCCTCATCACCAGCAACAGAGCCAGCCACCTAAGAGGCAAAGTCTGGGCTCTCCTAAGCTCACAGAGATCACCGCTGGTGAAAACATTTTCCTAGCTTCATGTAAACAGGGTGTAAATCTAAGTGGAGGCACAAGAACCTTTTGTTACACTCAAATCTTTGCTGTTGAAGTTCAACCATAAAAGTTTCAATCGCTAACTCTTTAAGGACAGATTCCCCACATCCAACAGGGAAGGATTTGAGGAGGAACAGGATGCAAAAATAAAAGTCCTACCTGAGCTCACTTTCACCTCCAATCCACTCCGGCACCTTGAGTTTGGAGTCGAGGTTGTAGTAGGTGCCTCCCACCTCCCGGACACAGATCCAGTGCTGTCGCTTGAGGGGGAGCTTCAAGGGGCCCCAGCAAAGGCTGGAGGGCAGATTCATAATGAAGCCCATCACATTAGACAGGGCAATGACATTAACATCCCTGAGAGAGTGCAGAAGACAAGACAGTGATAAGACTATATTCTGGTGCTTCAACTGCCATCTCTTTCTCATTTTTACGAACAGCAGCCATCTCCAGAGTTACACGAGTTCTCAGTACCTGCGCTTGTCCCACCAAACCGCCTCATAGCCTTTGGTCTGAAGCGCGGCCATGATCACGTTCACATCATAGTTTCCGTTTCCCAGCATGCTCTTCTTGTGGGGCGTCACCATGGTGTTGGGAGACAACCTGCAAAGGGAACAGGAGACTGCTTTAGCAGTGTGGGTGTTTGTGGAACCTGTACTCCACAGTCAGAGAGGGGCTAGTTGCCTTATAACTTGAAGCCTGTTTTCAGGGGTTTTGTGTTTAAACACAAAAGGTCCCTTCCAACCCAAACTATTCTGTGATTCTATTCCATTCCTTCTTATCACTCAACAAAGGGGCTGAGAGGGCCAAACAGTGCATTAAGAATAACTTTGATGTACAAAGCCACCAAAGATCCTAGCTTTGACGTGAAAGAGACCGCAAAGCAGGAAGCTCTTTTCCCCCCCACCTTGAACTGGTACTTCTGAAGGATGCTTCAGTTATTTTTTTCCTCAATTCATGGCCAGAGTAAATGCCAGTTTGCCATTTAGAACCACGGCTATCACAATTTCAAGAGTCCAACAGTCAACACCAGTCTTGAAGACTAGATGAGATAACAAGAGGCAGGGCAGGCGGGCTGCAGAAAAGGTTGTTCTCCCCCACCACCCACTGGTAAAAGAATGAAATACTCAGACACAAAAGCTGTAGAGATGTTTGGGGTTAGGAGCTTTCTACAGCATTTGCCATTGCCATATGATAAAAAAAAAAATCTGTTGCTGTAGGTAACTAAACAGCTAACCTCGCTGCAAACAAATCTCTTCAGATTTAATCCCTAAGCTTGCCTAGACATCGCTTGCATTACTATAGCATCTAAAAATCCAGAACTGCAGCCCATCATGTTATACACAAAAACGTAAGGCAGCCTTTGCACAGATGCAGATAATGGATGCAAGGTATAAAACATGGAGATACCTGGCAAAAACAAAACCAAAACCAAACTAAAAAACAGCTAAACACTTATGTTTTTCCCCCCCAAGAAATTCTGTAAGGAGGGGAAACAACAAGGGAGTGAATTATTATTAAGGTGACAGCCAGGCTCCAAAAGCTGGAAGAGCAAGCACGAGGGGAAACTGGGAGCACAGAACAGGAAGGTTCTCATGCCAAACCCAAGAGAGTCAAGCCTGAGACTAATTCTCTTGTGATGAGTTACTCTTTTGATTGGCAAGGGCTCCATGAGCTCTGCTGGCACAAGGTTCAGATGTTTCTTATTATCCAAATATATCCACATTCTCACCCACCTCTCCCTCATGTCAACTCTGTCCCCCAAAACTCCTGGTGTTCCTGCATGTTTTTTGCTCAGCCTTTAGCACAGCCCAAGTTCCGCAGGCACATTTCATCCAGTGAAAACCCCTCAGCCCTTCTGCATTCCTCCCCTGACAACATGAGGCATTTGACAAGAAGAAAGCAGTGGATCGAGTAGGGAGTTTCAGACCAACAAAGGCTAGAGAGGCTACAGGCAGGTGGCTGTTTGCATCAGCTGTGAGTTTTCTTGCAGTGGAGCAGACTGCAGCAGAACAGCCTGGGAAATGACTTACCTACAGAAGGGAGAAGAGTCCAAAACAATGCAGGAATAGGAAAAGCTACTAATACCCACCCTGGGGCGTTTCTGAGTGAGGCAATGACATTTTCAGCAAATCATGGTTTCCAGCCTCCAAAGCTCTACCGTACTTTACTGTAGCTCGTCACAGCTCTTTCCAGCATCTCCATAAAAACAAGGTCACTTGGCTATACAACTAATTCCTCAAGATCACTGCTTCAATCTATTAACTCTCATGAGCACCAGCAAGCCAGGAAAGCCTTCCAATTAACGGAGCCCTCTGGGTTGCACAAGCACCCTCTGGTGGCACCATTCTCCAGAAACAAGCTTATTCCAGAGCTGCAAGAACACGTTTATCTTTGTTTCTTCCCATAACTGTCAGAGCCCCAGAAATGAGAAGAGACCAGCAGAGGTGACACACTCGAAGAACGGGTACCCGTGAGCAATTTTTCCCCAGGAATCACCTCAAGGTCTCTACTCACACACACCTAAATGAGGTCCACAATCAGCCGAAGGATTATGATTAGAAAAGGAATTAAGTTGCCTCTCCAAAGTTTGGTTTTTTTTTTTTTTTTTTTTTTTTTTTTTTTTTTTTTTAATCTAGTCACTAATCTGAGGAACACTGACAAAGTTGGACAGAAATTCAGGTAATAATCTTCTTGAGCTTTCCAAGTCAGCAACTTTCATCAACATGTTGTCTTAACACAACAGGCTCCAACATACTTTCTGTACACAGTTACCTTTCCTAATCAGGTATCAATACACAGCCTCCAGTGAAGCAAAGAGATTTTGTGTGTATCTCCATGCAACATTTGGAACGTGCATCCTTACTTCCTGCAACAAAAGCCAGAGGAACATCAAAAAGATATTTCTTGTGTGAGAGGAAAGAGAGGAAGGACTACAAAATCAGAGGGGAGCTTGGACCAAGTTTTGGCACACACTTGAGATGATAATCATCAGACTACACTGGCCGTATGCAATGGGATGCAGCAAAAGGGAAAGTAGCAATTGCGCAGTGTGGTTCAATCATTCTTCAAAGGATGTGGCAAAAGCTATGGAAAGCTTAGGCTTATTTGTGATTTTGCTACCTTATCAATGCCAGGTTTAAAAATCACACCTCACAACATTTTTGTGGCTTATTAAAAATATTCATCAGTCCTTTATCAGAGTCATCAGCACACAGAACGTGACCAGACAGAGGAAAGACATATGGAAAAGTTATGTGTAAAGGGCTACTAAACCCATGCTTCTTAAAGGCAAGTCAAAGAGCTAGACATGAGTAGTAACCTAACAGAGATGGAAAGATAGTGTCAATTCTTAGGCATAGCTTATAGCTCATCCGTTTCAGAGAGGAATTTCCACATACATTTCCATACTTCCAGTGGGCTGAATCAATCTGTGTATCTTGATCCGAATATTAGGATGGAATATTAGGCTGGAATCAAAGACAAATTCTCCCTTCTAGGGCAAGCGGTCTGACGAGATTAACATCCCAGCCCTTTCTGAGAGGTTTCATGCTGCACACTAATTCTCTCTCACCAATCCCAATGAAAGCCAACTAATTAGATCATCGCACTCCTTCTACCACATGAACTGCTTTTGTTTGCTTCAGGCCAATAGCAATTCATCTGTGATTAAGATTCTGACAATTGCCGCTCTGGAACAAAACCATAGCGTCTTTACACTGGACAAAGAGTGCCTTGAGCTGGTTGAGGACCAGCTCCGCTTCACCAACAGGAGTTTTATTTACAACGCTATCGTAAATAGCATTTCAATCCGGTATTTGCTGTTGTCCATCACCACATTTCTTTTGCCAAAGACGGGCACGCATTTGAGGAGTCAAGCACCAGTTCCATAAATCTGCCCGTTTTCAGGACAGCAGCAACAGGCGCACAGCTCCCTGCTTGTCAGCACAGGGCACCACAACCACCTTGTCCGATAGTACCTGCATAACCGCTGCCATGAAGTGTGATTTCCTACCTGTCACAAACACAAGAGGCTGTCAACTGCTGGTAACATATTCAAGCGTTAACTTATGCGATGTTTACAACACCTGCAGATAGAGTATCAGAGGAGACACCTTCTCCTATTTGATTACTTAGCTTCATCAATGAAAGGTCACAGAATTTTCAAAGGCGCACACAGGAGAATTGCCACAAAGTGTCAAAACAGCATGAAATAAACTGAGCAAAATATGAGCTATTGTACAGACCGCATTAATAATTTACATTTACCCCAGTAAAACTCAAACCCACTTTTATTAATAATCTGAAGCTGCTGGAAAACATTTAGCAATGCCAAGAAAAATGAGGATCTGAATACTGAAATTAAATCCAGTTTGACAGAGTACACAGGGTCTTGCTGCATGGAAAAAAAACCCAAAACCATAATATTTGAGGAACTTCACTTAACTGCTTGAATAAGGAGTCACTCATTTGGCAAAGCTCCTAGTGTCAAAAAAAAACCCCTCGGAAGTGTTGCAGTAGTAAATCAAGAAGTTTTTAAGATGACCCATTTGTCATTCCTGCCGCCTTCACTCTCCCAAGCCAATTCCCCAAATCCATTGTTAATATCAAGATAATATATCTACAGGAGACAGGGGCAAAGACATGGAAGATGGGTAGAAGATACATTAAGGTGGGTGGGGGAGAAGAGAGCAGTCCAACCACATGACAGCATCTGCAGTAAAGCCCTTGGACCCAAAACCGGCAGCCAGAATAGTTTAAGAAACCAGCAAAAAAAGAGAATTTCCGCATGGGAGGAGGAAGAAAGGGGTTTAAAAAAGCTACATTCAGTTCAAAGCAGTGGCACACTCTGAACCTCTCCTTTACTCTATCTCCCCCTCCAAGTAAGATCTGAAAATTCCTCCAAGCAACAGAGGACAAGGGGAAGCTCACGCCAGTGCAGAGAGTATCCTACCTCTGAAAAATCTCCTGCAGGGTTTCCCTAGTGAAGGCGTTGCTGTCCTGGAAGACATTGTTGAGGGCATGGAGGGCACACAGCTCCCTACGCTGCTTCTCGTGGTAAATATGCAGTGGCGGTAGCTGGGGTGGCTCTGGTGATTCCGATTTGGTCTTGTCACCTTTCCATGGCACGCAACTCATTTTTGCAGAGGGTGGATGAAGAGTAGGTGGTGAGAAACGAAGGAGGCTGAAGTTTCTTCCTCCACAGTCACAACAGCAGCCCACTGCCCCTTTCTTTTGCAGGCTAGCGCTGCTTCCAGCTCACAAACCCTCCTCTTGTGCTTCAGTTTATTCAGTAATTGCCTCTGATGGCTGGTTTTAAAAACCACATAAAGATCTGCAACATATTTTTCCTCCCTCCTCCCATACCCCATAAAATGTAAGACTTCCTCCCACCCCCCACAGAAGAAAAAAAAATAAAAACGTCAGAAGATATGAATCCCCTCAGTCTCAAGGTACCAGCCGGTATTTATCACATCGTTCCTTTTCTTCCATCTCCTTTGGTCTATAGTGCCACTAAAAGGGTACCCAGAGCAGGTAACAAAGAGAGGCCCACCCCCAAAGTGCCAAAGTGAAGAAGATGGAGCCAGCTTCTGGCGCTGCCTATGGGAACACAGGGTGGTTAAGGACTTATCAGCTGCATTCCTCCAGTGCCTGAATCCAGGCAAGAAGATGCCAACAGCTCAGGAAAGGAAACCGTTTCTTGCTAGGCCACAAAAAAACAAAACCAACCAACCAAAAAAAAAACCAAACCAACAACAAAAAACCAAAACAAACAAGTCCAGGCTCCGGGAAAGGCAATTCCTCACAAGTCACCCTGCACTCCGACAAAGGGAAATCTCCATTAGCAGTGAGAAGAGGCAGCACAAAGCCCGTGGGAGCGAGGGGAGGGCAGGCAGCAGGCGGGACCAGCCCCAAGGCCTCCCCAGCACCTTCCCACACCGCGCTGGCA